TCAGTAGAGCTCTGCTGTCGCCTCACGTCATCGCATTACAGTTGAGGGCGTATTGGGCGTAGACGAACATGAAACGACATCGCACAATTCTACGGTCGCAGAAGGTTTAAAATAGTATAGGGTAGCCATCACGGTCTTACCCGTAAGTTACCCGTGACGGCCCCCACACTGCACCTCATCTCACTTCGCAATTACCTACGTCGTTGGACATTGCTCATTCAGATTCCAGTCGACAATGGTGCAGCCACAACTCCATCAGGAAGTTTTGGATGGAAACGGGGCCGACGCTGCTCCACAGAATGACTACGTTCAGGTGATGACTCCGCGTGGCAACGATGATATCCAAGATGCTGCGCCCGTCATCTCCACAGCTAATGATGCTGATAGCGAAGTCTCACAACCTACAGAGGACAAGAAGAAGGTGCCGACTATCGCGTTCAAGGAATTGTATCGTTATGGTACAACCGCCGACAATTTGCTATTGTCCATCGGTGTGCTGTTTGCCGGTGCAAACGGAGCTCTGTTCCCATGTATGGCTCTGGTTTTCGGAGACGCAATTGGAGCTTTCGCTCAAGCTGATGGCGGTGTCGACATGGATGCAGTCAACAATGCCGCCTTGAACTACCTCTACATCGCTGTTGCTCTCTTCATTACCGACTACATCGCCTACGTGGTGTTCGTCAACTCATCCGAACGACAAATGAAGGCTCTACGAGACGCAGCCTTTAAGCACATGTTACACATGAACATCGGCTGGTACGACAGTAGCGATCCATTGACTCTATCGAGTCGCCTCACTGGTGATACCGTCAAGATCAAGGATGGCATGGGCAATAAACTTGGAGATTCCGTCAAGTATACATGCCAATTCATCACGGGTTACGTGATCGGCTTCGTCCGTGGATGGGATATGAGTCTCGTCATGGCTTGCATCATGCCGTTCATGGTGGCGTCTTTGGGTATCCTCATGACGAGTCTTCGTAAACGTGCAGTGCACTCACAGCAAATGTACGCAGAGGCTGGTGCTGTAGCGGAGGAGACACTTAGCTCCATCCGTACAGTGTCTTCACTTAACGCTGAAAAACTGGCCATCAACAAGTACAACGATCGCGCGGTTAAGGCTGAGGAGACCAACATTCAGATAGCCAAGTTCGCGTCGTGTGTGTTCGGTCTCTTCATGTGCAGCATCTGGCTCATGTATGCTGCGGGTCTCTGGTATGGTGGATCCAAGGTCGCACATGATAAGGCTTCTCCAAGCGAGGTGTTCCAAGCGTTCTTCGGTGTGCTGATGGGAACGATTTCGCTTGGTCAAATTACTCCGAACATCTCGGCTGTAGCAGAAGCGAAGGGTGCTGCAGCGCAGATCTACAAGATCTTGGACACACCATCTGCCATCGATGCATCCAAAGACAACGAAGGAGAGAAGCCGGAGTCTTGTCTTGGTCGTATTCAAGCTACAGG